TTATGTATGAGATTGTCGAAACTTATGTTCTATGCTATGAGTTATAAGTCTATATTGAGTTTACTTCTTGAGTATCTTGTGTATGAGATTTAATTGCTTTGGTATCTTTTTGAGGGGGAGCCCTCTTCATGTTTAGTCTCTATGGTATCATTTTGAGGGGGAGCTCACTCTTTACTCATTCTTGATTATTATTATTGAGCTCCATAACAAATACTTTCGATCACTATTATGAGTGTGCATATGAGTATAGGGATCCCGCACTATTAAGAGGGGATCGTTGGATCTAGTGAAAAACTTGCTCAAAAGCCACTGTTCCTATATCTTGCCTTCGGACATCCGGTGCTCTACAGACGTCCGGTCCCTCTCGGCTGCCCGGACATCCGGCCACTTCCGGTCGTCCGGTGTTCCTTTACAGTATGATTTTTACGGATGTCCGGAACTTTCCGGACGTCCGGTACTTTCACAACAGAATCATTTTTACGGATTTCCGGACTCTCCGGTCGTCCGTGCTCCGGATGTCCGGCCAGTCTCGGACGTTCGTGTCTTGTACACTGGGTCGTGGCTCACAGTTTCACAGCACCCGGTCGTCCGATGACTGTCGGACGTCCGGACCTATTTGTCCCTCCGGACGTCCGATGTTCTCCGGTCGTCCGACCTATCCTGAGAACTTATGTTCCCCAAACGGTCACTTTTACTCACCTACTATATATATGCCCTTCCCTTCCACGGGATAGGGTTGACCACTCACTTTGAGCCTACCAAGAACACTCCTCACCCTCTCTCTCTCTCTCATTCACCTACACAATTCCTAGATTCCCAAGAGTTCTAGGAGCATTTGAGAGAAGTTCTCCAATCAAGTGATAGATCCACTCCTTCCCCTTCTTTGCACCAAAGGAATTCGTGATTTGAGCAAGTTTTGAGCTTTCCCCCATCGTTCTTGTTACTCTTGGAGGTTGGAGACTCCTAGGCAGTAGGAGTCATTCAGAGAGGAATCGAACTTCGTGATTATCCTCGAAAAAGTTTGTGAGGGTTTGGAGACCACCCCAAGGTCTACCACTAGTGGTTGAGAAACACCTCCGTGGTGTTGTCTCAAAGGGAGAATAGGGTGAGCCTTCCTGGCGTTGGTGTGCCTTCGTGGTAACATCCACCTCTCTAACGGTGACTAGCTTCCCTCCAAGGAAGTGAACATCGGCATACACCCTCGTCTCCCGGAGTTGTGGTTATTCCTAACCCTAACTCTCTACTTCTGGTTACTTGTCTCTTTGCACTTACGTACATCATATTGTGCTTGCCTACTTACGTGCTTGTGTTACTTGCTTAGTACTTAGTACTCACTTGCAATTGTTAGGGTCATCTTCATATTCCACATTATTGCCAAAAATTGCTAAGTAATAATTAAAATTTGTAATTGTACCTATTCACCCCCCCTCTAGGTCCATCTCGATCCTTTCAGGGGGAGAGTGAGAGTGGAGTGGAGAGGGGAGAGTGAGGGGCGGCCGGTGGAGAAGATATGATGGGTTACGGGAAAGCGCTACTGCTAAACGCCATAACAGTAGCGCATCTCCCCTAGCTCGCTACTACTATGCCTAGCCTGGTGGCAACAGTGTGGGAATTATAGTAGTAGTGTTTTTCTCACTAGACGAGCTACTGCTACAGACATAGTTGTAGCGCCCTTCGTGCACCCACACTATGGGTAAGTAGCAGTAGTGTCTGGTTTTAACTAGCGCTACTGATAAACTTTTTTGTGTATTAGGTTTTTCCTAGTAATGTCTACTTATGTGTTTTTTTGGAAAACGGGTGTAACCCCGGCCTCTGCATCAGAACGATGCATACGGCCACCTTTATTATAAAGAAAATAAGTTCAACACAAGTCATGAGTTCTTAAACAAACGAACCACAAAAATGCTCACGAAGAGCAGAGAATAAAAGCCACAACAGGAAGGCAAAAGAAAGATAGGAAAACTAATTGCCTATCCTATTACATGACCGCCATCCAAACCGGCTGAATATAGCCCGAGCTACCATCTCCCACCGGGTAGATCCAGTAACCAAATGCTCCCTGGCATCCGTCTGAGTGAGTAGCGATCACATACGGATCAATGTAGTGGCTCGGAATATAACTTGCAAAAAATGAGTATTTGTTGTTCTGTTAAAAACCAAATCATTCCTGCAGTTTCAGACTGCCCAAAGTAAAGCACATACTCCTACATGAATGTGTCTCGCTGTTTGGGATTCTATCCCGTCCAGCCACGTCCCAAATAACTGTTGATATTATTCGGAGGAGTAATATTAAACGCAATGTGAACAGTCCGCCATAGAACCTTTGCCATCGGACAGTCAAGAAAGAGGTGTTTGATAGTCTCATCACGATCACAAAAACTACATCTCGTGAAACCAGTCCAGTTGCGCTTTGTCAATTTGTCCTTATTTAAAATGACTTGTTTGTGTACAAACCACATGAACACTTTAACTCTCAAAGGTACCTTGACATTCTATACATGTTTGGATGTAGGAATAGAGCTAAAGTTAATCACATCTAAATACATTGATTTAACCGTGAACTCTCCATTCCTAGCTAACTTTCAGCATAACGTGTCTGGCCGTTGAGAAAGCTACACATCCATCAGTCTTCTCACCAAATGTAGCCAGGCTTCCCAACGGGCTCCGGCAAGTGTTCTCCTAATGTGGATATTGAGGGGATTGGACTGAAGCACGGTTGCAACGAAAGCGTCTTTTCGTTGCACAATGCTATAAAGTGTCTACTTATGTGTGAGTTTTTGTGTTTGTGCACTGTGGTTTAAGTTCTCACCCACTTCGAATTAGCGTTGACGGTTGCTTGGTTCTATATGGGTGTTGGGCCAACCCATTGGGCTAGGTAGTTTGGTCCTGGCCCGTGACATTCCCCCTCCTTTACCAGCGGTTTGACCCGAAATCACTAGTTAGGAGTACTCCTTGCGGAGATTACTCCAACTTTCCCAGGTTGCGACAAGTGGCGCGATGCATGTGCGCCACTTGTCGCAACCAGAGAGTTTTCCTTTTTTTTCGTAGATTCGTTTATTCAAAATGTTTCATCTCTTAAACTGTGTGTCCAAATATCGAACCGCTTTCGCCGTTGGATTCCTCGCGTCGAGATCTTCAGAACTAGATCCCATGTTGATAGGTTTTGACGAACTTTTCTTTCATGAAAAAACCGGACGAAAAAAACCGACGAAAAAACCGAACCGGGAACACGGATTTTTTTCACTTTCCGAAAAAGGCACGCCCGTGCCTCTGACGAAATCACAACCATGCCTCTCGTGGAAGCAATACTGTGCCTCTCGTGAAATAAAAGAAACAGAAAACACGTTTTTTTTCCTTTCCAAAAAAGGCACGCCCGTGCCTCTCGCGAAAAGCACAACCATGTCTCTCGTGGAAGCAAAACTGTGCCTCTCGCGAAAGAAAAAAAAACAAAAAGCGCATTTTTTTCCCTTTCCGAAAGAGGCACGCCCGTGCCTCTCGCGAAAAAAAATAGAACACGCGTTTTTCCCCTTTCCGAAAGAGGCACGCCCGTGCCTCTCGCGAAAGCACAACCGTGCCTCTCGCGGAAGCAAAACCGTGCCTCTCGCGAAAGAAAAAAAAATACAAAAAACACGTTTTTTTCCCTTTCCGAAAGAGGCACGCCCGTGCCTCTCGCGAAAGCACAACCGTGCCTCTCGCAGAAGCAAAACCGTGCCTCTCACGAAAGAAAAAAAACAGAACACATTTTTTTCCGTTTCCAAGAGGCACGGCCGTGCCTCTCGCGAAAGCACAACCGTGCCTCTCGCGGAAACAAAACCGCGACTCTCGCGAAAAAAATGTGTTTTTTTGCATAAAATATTTAATATTTTCGATTTTTTTTGTCGAAAAGCCAGAGAAGACCGGTAGAAAACCAAAACGTAAAAAGAAACCAGAAAAAAACTGTTTAAAAAGCCGAAAACGCATGCGAAAAAATAAAAAAAAATCCGGAAGGAGTGCCCAGAGCGCGACACGTGGTAAATGGCTGAGAGCGTGCCAAGTGACGCTTATCCTTGCGAGGCTCCCGAAGGAGCGCTCGTTAATTAGTTGCTCCAGGTTTGACACCAAGCCAAGGCACGACATGAGGGAAGCGGGTATGAAGCTCCCATTCATTCTCACATGCATGTCTCCAGCCACGGCAAGAGCCCCGACTACTGCACTAATACTTCTTCAATGTTTGTATGATGGAGACTACGTTGGCGGTGATCCAGGGCATGCTCCGGCACTTGTAGTGGTAGGTGCTTTTTCTCCAGGTGTGGCAACTCCTGATGCACGGTACTTGACGGTGGCATGCCGACGCGCAATTTGGAGATGTGAAACACCGAATGGTCTTCGCGTGCTCGGGCAGCTGCAAACGGTAGGCTTGACTCATGACGGGCACGACTTGGTATGGTGTGAAATAGCAGAAGGCCAACTTGGCATTGGCGCAATGCACCGAAGATGTATGGATATATGGATGGACCCGCCGGAAGACCCAATCATAGATGGCGAAAGATTGGTCACAACACTTGCGGTTTGAGAAAGCCTTCATCTGCTGTTGAGCTCGATGAGATGTTGTCCGAGCAGCATGGCCGCCAGGCAACGATCCTATAGTCAGACTTGTAAGATGTCGAAGAGGTACACTTGGTGCCTATACAATGTAAGAAATGATGTCATCTTGATAGCCGAGTGCTATGATGTATTTACCAGAATCTCACCAGAGGAATAATAGCAAAAAACTATCACAAATGTGGCAACTGTTTCAGAAAGCTACGACAATTTGAAGACGTCCCAAAAAGCTATAACTATCGGGATAATTCGTCGCATATTACTACCACTTCAGATTAGTTGCCAGTTTCGACGAAATTTATTGCGATTATGACAGAGGTGGCCCACCCGTCAACGATGACATGGGAAAAAGTTAACTCCATTACAAGTGATCGTAAGAATACCACCATTCGGCATCACAAACGGAATTAACTGACTATCTATTTATCCATATAGATCCTTGCACAATGCTGGAGATGACCAACCAGTGAGGTGATCTTTGCAGTAAAAAATGGGGCATCACGCTTGCCAATTTTTGAATCAATCTCGCATCCGTCAGACTTGGCGTATGAATAGTTATCTGAATTTGAAAGGTTCTCGTGTGTATGATCCCAACGTGTATGGAAGTAGTCTACAGGGCCGATCCCGCAATAAGCCTGTAAGCATGCATAAGTATTTAATTCACGTCCAAAATATTTGAACTACTTTCATAAATATGCTGAGTCGGTGCTGAGATTAATAGGAACTTATAAGTCGAACGTCTAACGATGGTTAGGACATGCATACCTTGTTGGACCCAAAAGTATATCTAATTGGGTTACTCCAGGAAACCAGGTAGTGCTGGTCTCCACCATCTTTGTTCTTGCCACGGTAGATAACCGATGCCATCGAACCTGAAAATGACCCTTGGCAGTGAACGAAGGCAGCCCACTGCCCATTGCCAATCCGTTCAGGGTAGCCCCTGCCATTGAGGATATGCCCAGACCAGTCATGGTTGCCGACGTGGTAGAGGGTGTCGCCGGTCGCGTTATAGATGAAGCACTGCGTGGCCCGCGGCCAATAGACTTGGATGATTACCTTGGGACACAAGTACCTGCAAGCCATGACATCTTTGCGGTCTTCGCACATCAGATTCAAGGCCTCGCGTGCTCGGTCTTCCCGCTTCTTAGGTTTCCCCATGTACTCTGGCATTTGATCCAACTTGTAGTTGTCAACTACTTCACCAAAGATATTCACCGCCGTGCTCAGTCTTTTCCTCTCTTGTTCTTCTAGTTCTGCTATGTGAGTTTGTCGGCAGTCCTGCACATTCGGATGAACTTATTTTTGGGGAAATGGCGGATTTTGTTGACTCAAAATGAAGCATTAAAGGGATGCAAACACAATGAGCACACATCGTGTGGCTATCTCATGTGCGCACGCTGACGCGCTCAATTCAGGCAGCGTACATTTTCAAATTGATCTGGTTCAATGTGTTGTATCCTTTTTATTCCTTTCATTTTTTATATTGCATGCAGCCACCGACCCCCTTAAAATCAGGGGATAGTGAGATTAGAGGGAGAACTCAGGGGGAGAGAAAGATTAGAGGAAGCACTCCACTTCAAATCAGGGGGTGGGGAGATAGATTAGGAGAAAATCTAACCGGGCCCCATGTAAAATGGGAGGGGGGTGGGGTGGGGTGGAGTGATTCGGAAAAACTCCACGCAGCCCATCGTGCATTGTGACGTGCACTCATGAAAAAGTCTTTTCCCCTTCTTTCATCTTTTCATTGACTTTGTTCTTTTCATTGTATTTTCTTTCCTTTCTTTTCCCTTCGATTCCTTCTTTTCATTGCTTTCTCCTTGATTTCCCTTTTATTTTCTTTCTTCTTTGCACAACCGTTGCATACCCATGTTTTGTAACAGTTTCACCGTGCTCCACAATATTTTTGTAGTTTCATAATGTTTCACCATGTTTCAAAATCCAAATTTCAAATCTTGTGAAAATATATTCGAGATTGGCCTTGTTCTAAAGGCCTCGTTATCAAGAACACAAATGAGCAGAAATGTCATAAATCTGATTTTCTATTCAAAAGATAAATTTGAAATAATCTTTGGATCACATAAAAAAGTATAGATGGATGATGGAAGGAGGAAGATCTCTGGCAGCAATGAGTGGGAAACGTTCCCCTATTTTGACGAAAAAGGGTTTCCCCCCGCTTTGTATTACAAAGCAACCACCGATACATCCAACGATAGGTGCTGGGGCCGCAGCACAAATAAGCCCAAAGAAAAACAGAGAAGAAAGGAAGAGAAACAAATGCCAACAACGGCAGATCGACGAAACGAAGATGACCGGCGACCGCTGCACCCTCCGGAGAAGTACCACCACGTTCCCAGCATCCGAAGCGCCGCGTACCAAGCAACACCTTCAAGAAGGAGGCGACGATGACGCCGCTGCTGCCCGGACTAGTCCTAGGGTTTCCCCCGGTACGCAGGAGGGCAGTGAGGGGAGGGGTGTGCCCGACGCCCTTCAGGAAGGTCCGACGGCACCCACAGGCGTCGCCGCGTCGGGGCCGGACAAGCCGCTAGAGATTTCTCCCAACCCAGACCCCCACCACCACCCCAGACGAATCATAGTACCCACGTTCCCCTATTTTTGCTGACTCACATGTATCTAACAGAATGTGTGGGTATTGTGCAAAAGGAAATCTTTAAAATAATTTGTTCAATAAGACCCATGATAGTTCCGCTCCACTGTCTGATGACAAAAATCAACAATTTGTTCCTACCCTCTTGCAACCTATATTCTTATGCATACACGTTGAAACTATTGCACATGGCTTGCAAATGGACACTAGGTGAAATTAAACTGACTTTTTGAGCTCATAATACATCGATTCAATTGTGTGCTGAGCTGTTTCATTTCTATGCATCATGATATGTCGACATTGGTGGTTAAAATACTAGACAGATGCAATGGTTTCATGTGAAAATGAGATTAATAAAAATTACCATCATCCCAAATAATATACATTGAGGCCTGAACCTTCCATTACCAAGGGAACTTACCTCGAATGATGTGTTCCCTTGTCCTCGATGTACATAATCCAGCGTTTCCTTTGCATCCCTAATTAGGAACTCTCTTTCCTGGTCGCTATTTATCTACGATAAAAGAAGTTCACAAAGTTAAAAATCAAACTGTATTCGAGTTCACAGAGAGTGACATATTACTTATGTTATCATTCTAACACAATACTCAACAAATCGTATATACCTAAGAGAGTCATCTCCACTAACTTATTTATCTCAGCATGCAAGCTTGTCAACTTAGCATACAACTATGAATGGGATAATTAAGGCCCACCCCAACATGCAATAATGCATGGGAAAAGACCCATCACAACATTCAACTATGCATGGGAAAATGTTTCCCGTTCAATTATCCCACTTATATTCAAATATGGTTACAACAATGCATAATTAAATATAATAATTCATATGTATTTTTAATTGTTGTTCTGATGTTATCAACCTAAATTTTCATCAACCAGTTCCCACAACAATGTGCGGGGTATCCTCTAGTTCATCTAATACACATTGCTAACATGTCCTTTCCTTGCAAAACAAATGCGAATCTTGTACGTTAACGAGTACTATCAGTCTCTTGTGTTAAAATTGGTGTAACCCTATGTATATTGGATCTTAACAGTAAGCGCAAAGAATCCGACAAATGAGCTACCTACACCAGTCCAATTGCACGAAAGCCAATACACAGAGAAAATTGAGCAACCCGGCACCCTACGCTTTTATTCCCTCCCTCGCATTACTGAACAAGAACACATCACATTAATGCAACCGTATGCAAATCTGGAAAATTGATGGAACTGTTCTTGGGAGCTAAACCGTGTCTAGAAAGCGGGAGAGGAGGGAAACAGTTACACCTAAGATAAAGGGCGGACAGAAAACCCATATGTTGCAATATTTTACTGTGTAAAGGCTGATTACTAGTATAGTTAATTTTTTTACCATTGTCTGAATTAATGAAGCCCTCCCTTCCTCCCTTTGGAATGAAAAACAGAAAATCATAGTAAGAAACAATTGTGCCATCATTAGTGATCACACCTTGTTCATCGATGATCCTGTGTGATTCATTGAAGCGCCAGGGACTTGTATTGCAGTCTCCATCTCATTCAAAACATTAATGATTTCCCCTATACTTGGTCTTTTGTGTCGATCTGCATCCACACAATTTAAAGCTATTTCTATGCATCTCTTTACTTGTTTGGAATATGGCTCCAATGCGTGAACCAGTGTTGTTTGTAGCTTAGTGTTCCAGTAAGCATGTACCTACCAGTGTGGAACATAAAGCATGGGTATTATATCAAATATATGGAGGCATTATTCTTGAAATATTTACTACTTATCTCAATAAAAGAAGAACGGTTACTCACAATCTCTATGAATTCTTGGGGAGACATTTCAGCACTTCGAAAGTATGCCGTTGGTCCTGCCATTATCTTTATAATTACCACACCCAAACTGAATATGTCAAACTTAATGGAGATTATACAGGCGTCTATATATTCCGGTGGTACATACCCACTGCATGATAAAATGACACATCATGCTACTTGTTGTCCTGCTACTTGTTGCAGAGTAGTGTGTGTCTATAATTTTTAAATTCACATGGATGAGTAGGCTTACCGTGTTCCTATGTCACTTTTTGTGAATTTTGACTGTTCTCCTCCGAAGAGCCTTGACAAGCCAAAATCCGCGATTTTGGGCACCATATTTTCATCTAGCAGTACATTGGCTGGTTTTAAATCCAAATGATACATTGGAGTTTGCAATTCCTCATGAAGATATTTCAAACCCTGACAAATTCCTTTAATTATTGCATAGCGTGTGCGCCAATCATGTCCCTTAGATTCATCTGTACCAACAAACAACGCGCACCCTCAAAAACTATATGCTATGAACGATTGATTAAAGTGGTATCTTATGATACAAGTAGAACCCCGTGTATCATACCAGTAAGAAATTTGTCAAGGCTTCCATTTTGCATATATTCAAAGCAAAGTGCTCTCTGTGTAATGTCAGCCAAGACCAGGTCACCATTATAAGGTAGGAATTCTCGCCGAGTTTCATGACTATAGCCAACTAACCGCACAATATTGTTGTGTTGCAGATTTGCGAGATTGTGATACTCCTTCTCAAATTGCTCATCTTCAAGTCCTGGAATGTAATTATGAAGCAGCTTCACAGCAATCCATTCCCCATCTGTATGCTGTCCCTATTCAACATAGAAATGCATGCATGGTTTAAAGTTCTATGTGCAGATATATATGCAACATGTTTAAGCTGAAATTTGTGCATACTCATGTTTATTTATCTAGGGACCCATATTAAACTCTCAACTCTCAAGATAATTTATAAGAATGAGGTCATGTTACACTCTGAATAAAAGAAAAACCTAACAGTGCAGAGAATGACGACTTATTCACCACACGTTTGTTTGTCAGCACAGACCTTGTCCAACTATATGAAATTGTAACTAGAAATCTTGCATTGGTTTCCAACTGTACCTTATAAACATTTCCGAATGATCCAGCGCCAATTTTCATTTCCGTAGAGAAATTTTTTGTAATTTCATTTAATAACTGGAACGACATAACCCTTGGCACTGCACTTACATCGTCCATGTTATTCCTTTCTCTGGTAGAGAATGAACCCAAATGGTTACCTGAAGAAGAAAATCAATGTCTATATTTTACAGGAAGAACTGCTTTCTTTCCTAGTTGACCTCCCTCAAATGACCAATTGAGCTTGCACGAAATCTGATAAGTCTGACTGATGTATCAAAACTCAACGATAATATATGATACAAGGTTCTGTTTGGAGGAAGCAAATTTGAATCAAAAGCTACTAGATTGTCAGCAATGCTGCAATGAGAACGATGGAGTGAACCTACTTGATACGTGCCTGTGGGGTGATAGCGATATGCAGAACAAGCAAGAAGTTGGAAACTGCTATACAGACCAAACTCCAGTCGTGAAATCCAAATCTACATCGGACAACAAAGATGCAAAATTTATGTTAAGATCGATGTTGACCCAATTTAGATCTGAAGTTCTGGAGCATAGCATATACTCCCTCCGTCCCAAAATAAGTGTCTTGAGCTTAGTACAAATTTGTACTAGAGCTAGTACAAAGTTGAGACACTTATTTTGGGACTGAGGGAATAGTTGGAACCAACTAGAAGCGAACCCAAGTCTAATCTAACATACATGGCGAGGATGAAAATTAAGGTGAATGAGTTAGAAACCACAATACAGAGTGCTAGATATAGACATGTTGAACAGAGGTAGAAGATTTTCAGCATTAATTTCAAAAATAATTGGAAAAATAAACAGTACAGTAATAATTCATTAACAAGATTAGTAGCATCATAACTTACTTGGCCTGATGACCTGCACAGCACCGAGTGTCTGAAGACCCTACCTGCTGGGTTGCTCGCGTCCTCTGCGTCTCACGAGCGGACGGACGGCGACTCAGCGACGGAGTTGCGATTGCGGTTGCGCCGTTGCCACTCTGGGCTGACCGGCTGAGCAAGGGGCGACCAGCGACGTGGCTGCCGTCGGTCGGCCAGCCCTGGCTGTGGCTTGCGGCGCTCGCACGTACGCTGCTGCCTCCTTCCCTCCTCAATGCCTCCCCGGCAGCCAGATTTGCACGGGAAGAGAAATGGGGATCGAAGTTGCACGGGAAGAGAGAGAAAGAGAAGTGGATCAATGCTAGCTGGACTCCAATTTGTAGCTAGCTAGCTAAGTCAAGTGCCGTGTCTGACTGGGTTACCTTGTTTCATGTCAGCAAGTTGAGCCACTTGCTCTCTCCACTTGTGCTCTCCGGCCGGCCGGATATAATTTTTCTTCGCATGCGAACAATCTTGACTAGTAGCCAGCTGCAAGTGGGCATACGTTTAAATTTGTTTAAAAACCTAAAGATCTGATTTCGATCTGTCTGCCCCTTGAATTAGGGGTGGGAAATGAGGGGGACGGCTGCGGACAGGGACATAAGAAGGGCGAGCCCAAGCTGTCCACAGACACACCGGGAGCCTGATTTGATAATCCTGGTTGTTGAGCTGGACCAAGGCCAACTCCAGCGCGCGACCCCATCCCGTCCAGCCCCGTCCGTTTGAGGCAAAACAGACAGACCCCACGGTCCAGCACGCGACGGCCTGAACCCATCTTGTCCGTTTTGTATTCTCACCGATCCATTTCGAGTGCAAACATGCGTCCGGTTTGGGTCCAGGCGGACAGCAAACGGCCGTGCCACTCGTCCGCATTGGGGCCGCATGGCAAGCGGCCACCTACCTCCCCCCGCCTAACATAAATGCGCACGTGTGGTCGGCCCAACCTGTCATCCGCCCAGGTGAACGGTCGCCGTCCTTCTTAAATGGGAAGCCGTGGACCGGTCGCAGTCCACACTTCCCACTCCAGTCTGCGCTGCCTCCTGGAAACTCGACAGTCCCCAAATCCTATCTATCCCTCTCCCCTTCCTCAAGCTCGCCGGCCGGCCGCCAGGCAGTCATGGGGTGGTGGAACACCAGCCGCAAGGGGGCGCACGACCACGAGGCTGGCTCGTCCTGGGGCCGCCGCCGCCGCGGCGTCAAAGACGAGCCCGCATCACCACCACGGCACGCCCCATGGAGGGCCCCGCGCCACCCGCATTCGCCATCACACCTACGGCCGCCGGCGAGCGCGACCGGCACTACATCCACACGGATGTTTGCCAGCGTTATTGGGAGACGAGGACGCCACTCCGCTCGAGCGACGTTCACCTCCCCAATAACTGGCATCTGTCCGCGGATCGGATGCCGATCCCGCCAGTCCCGATGAGCGGCCGTGCATGCCGCAAGGAGATCAAACGCTGCCGCCGCCTCCTGCCAGACGACCTCTACTACGACCCCATGTATGCCCCCGGCTCCGCCCTCTCGGACACGTGGTTTCGGGATGAGCACGACACGCAGCGCGCGTCCTTCTTTGTCGGCACCTCATCGGGGCCACGGCGGCCACGTGAGCGCCGCACACGTGATCTGAGCCCTCCCCACGTGCGCGGGCTAATGCGGGTGCGCGGCCTCATGCCGACGCCATCGCCGTCGCCTTCGCCCTCTCTGTCGCCACCACCACCTCCTCGCATGACGGAGGAGGAGGAGGCCCGACTCCTTCAACGCATCATGGAAAACTCCATGAACACACACAATGAGCGCCAATGGGAGGGCCTGGAGACCATGATTGCCCTCTTTGCGGCCGGCTATGTGGCCGTGCCGGAGCTGGAGATGAGGGAGGAGGTGAGGGAGGAGGTCCTGGAGGAGCAGCACGTCGCTGCGTTCCACCCGGGCCTGGTGGGCCAGGGGTGGAGCTGGTCGTGCACGACCGCTGACATTGCCGATGCCGCGAGGGCCATGAACTGGTGCCCTACGCCGCCGCGGTCACCGGAGCGCGAGACGTTGCCACAGGGTGAGGTGGTGCAGGCGCCTCCCGCCTTCCAGGGACCGGCCCACTTCTGGACGCCGCCGCCCTACATCGACCTCATTGACGACGACGACAACAACGACGCGTGAGGAGATGGTGACGGGTATAACAGGAGTGCGCGGGCGGCGGTTTTGTTTTGTTTTTTATGTTAATTATGCCATGTGAACTGGGGAAGGGGGCCGTGATGAGGCCGTGATGTTTAGTTATGTTGTTATTTTTTATGTTTGGGTTTATTTTAATTTTTTTGATTTTTTTAGCGATTTTTTAGGCACGTCCACCCTGAACATGATTTGGGATGCGTTCGCGCTTGGGCGCACCGACACGACAACGGCCCCAAGCGGACATGGGCGACCCCATTGCCGTCCCAAACAGACGAAATCAGGCCAAAACGGACGTCCATTTGGGGTCGTGCGCTGGAGTTGACCTAAAAGGGCGGTGGCAGGCCGGCGTCAGGCTGGGCCCCCATGAGCCCATTTAGTCCCGGTTTGTATCACAAATCGGGACTAGAGGTGTACCTTTAGTCCGGGTTTGTATAACCAACTGGGACTAAATATGCCCCTATATAAACCCTTCGTCCAGCATGAGCCCATTCTCTTTGTTTCCCCCTTTCCTCTCCTCTATTCTTGCCATTGCTCGACCTCATCCTCCTTTTTTGGCAAAATTTGTCAAGATGTGTTCACAAAGGTTAGCAACTTTATCCATTCATCTCTCATTGCTAGATTAGCTAGTAAGTATATTGATTTGTGGGTTTTAGTTTGGGAGTAATTATCTGTGAGGGTTTATTTGATTTGTATGCAATTTGAGCTCAAATTAACTTCTTAGTTTGCATAGTATATGTGTGGTTTACTTAGTGCCTCCCTGTCCCCGTCATACCCACCATCGATCGCCCTCCGTCCCCGTAGCCGGCACCACCATGGTGAGCCTCTTATTCTTATCCGTCTTATAAAAAATATCTTATTTGTACGATTTAGATAGTTTCTTACTTATATGATTGTTTGTTATACATAGTGCCATGGTCTTGATATCCGTCCCCGTCCGCCCTCATCCGGTTTATGATTTGGAAGTGGTATATTCTCTTTTATAATTATTTCTTTCATTTCTTGTTTATGACAATTATGCCCATCAAGTTGACATAGATATTTTTTATCTAGAAGGTATGTGACCCAAAAATTGCAACCGACACTCTTGTTGAGAAGTTAGATTTAGTTAAAAAAGAAAACGAGTATTTGAAATAAAAATTAAAAAGAATTGAAGAAGAGAAGATGAAATTGGAGTTGTATGTTGCCCATGTCGTTGATTATCACAAGATCAAGATGGATGCAATGCAATTGAAGACTAGAAATATTAGAAAATATGCCGTTAATAAAGAGGATTGGTATCATTATGTTGTTGGATCGATTTTTACCTTCGTTGAGATCTTGATCGCATTTTTTCTTGCATTTAAATGCTTTAGCTAGATATTTTTGTATGTTGTTTTAAGAGAATAAGTGTGTATGAACTTGTATTAGTTTGATCTTTTCGGTCTTGTGTAATTAAGATGAGCCGGCTATGGATGTACGATGAGGGCTTCTACGTGCATAGTTCATTAATGGTGTGCAGAGTTTTCTGCGTGCGGCTGAGGCAAACCAGCAGTATGGTTTTATGTGTTATCCATGTGCTTTCTGTAAGAATGATAAGACTTACTCTAAGTCAAGAGTCATTCACGTCCACCTGTTTACGTCCGGCTTCATGTTCGGGTATAACTGTTGCACCAAGCACGGAGAAAGAAGGGTTCTAATGGAAGAGAATGAAGAAGATGAGGGTACTACAATGGGAGAACAAGCTGAAGAAGAGGCACCAGATGTGCCCGCTGATGATCTTCGGGTTATTCCTGATGCAAAGAGAAACTGCGCAACTGAAAAGGAGAAGTTGAAGTTGCAGCGCATTTAGAGGATCATAAGAAATTGTTGTACCCAAATTGTGAAGATGACAAGAAGAAGCAGGGTAACACACTGGAATTGCTTCAATGGAAGACAGAGAATGGTGTATCCGACAAGGGATTTGAAAAGTTGCTGGAAATGTTAAAGAAGATGCTTCCAAAGGGCAACGAATTGCCCGACAGTACACACGAAGCAAAGAAGACTATCTGCCCTCTAGGATTAGAGGTGCAGAAGATACATGCATAACCTAAT